AATTGAATCTTAAATTGTATCAACTTAGTATCCCTTATTATATAAGACAAAAGGAACGTAAATGTGTAGAAATATAAATGTACGTTAATCTTATTTATTAAAATTAAGAGCTAAAATTTTAGAGCTAATATATTAAGTATTATTAAACTTACTTGTTTATTAGAGCTTATAAAATCAATAAGAATTAACTTGTAAATTCTGTTTGAATATTTAAAATCACAAAAATTGGACGATTGAATAATCAATCTGTTTAGAAATTAATGTTAATTGTAGTTAATGCAGTCAATTATTTTTAATTATAAAGTAGTTAGAAAATGATATAAAATCGTTTAAACATTATTTAAATAAAATTATAAGTGCGTCCCTAGACGCTTCAGAATTTTAGAATTGATAAATAAAATCAATGAATTAATTTAATTTTTTATCTTGCGAGAATGAAGTTTAATTTATTGTGATTGATATAGTTCAATCTAAAATGAACGCATATACTTTTGAGCTAGTATATATGATCTTTTGCTGAAAATTCAGGATTCAGTATATAATATCATCGTTCCATGGCATAAGAGCTCTCTTCCATATCATCATACTCTCAGTTAATTTTACCGATAGTCATTGCTCTTATCATTTGCTGCGGTTGAGATCTAGTTTTAATTTTCAAATAAGAGTGCGCTTTACGATATTAATTCGCAATTGTCTTTTTCATTTCTTTTTTTTTTACAAACTACGAAAAATATCACAGAGAAAGCACTGATAGCGATACCTTAGGAGTCTTCTTCAATTCTTTAATCTATTCTTTGCGCAAAATGGGTTTGGAATTTGGCAATTTACCAATACACATTCGTAGAGTCGTATATTACAGTCTGTCGCCATTGGAACAACGAGCCTGGACAAAATCAATAACGCACGGAATACCCAATTGGCTGAGAAGAATAAGCCGTGCACTTCCACCGATGCTTCCAGGTGCATATTTAAATATTTTACTTATCATTAACGCAACGTATACATATTAAAATTAAACAAATTAAACAAATATTGTAATATAATTAATTTTTTAAACTGTATTTATATTTATAAATATAAAATTTATAAATTCTTAAATATGTGTGAACTAAATTGTAAGATTTTAGTTAAAGTATCTAAATATAAAATCTAAATACACAGATCAAATTTTATTATCTTTTTTATTATTTTTATATTTAACCAATTTTTAATATAATTAATTTTATATTGTTCTTAATAATTTACTATTTAACATTTACCATTTTATTTTTACCATTTAATGTTTATCATTTATTTTGTGATTTATTTTTTAATAATTTATTTAAATGTATTCTTTCTTGTTAACATTAAAAATTGTTTTTTCATAGTTATAAGTATACGCAGATTTTTATTTTCAAAATATCGGTTTCCAATATTGCAATCCTTAGCTTTAATTGGCAACATTTTATAAGACATGAATACTAACGATCCAGTTCAGTTAAAGATACAGAACATTTTAACTTTATAAAGTAGCTTGTTTTATATAACTACAAAGTTTTTACACCCTGATGTAATCATTTTACATCCAAATGCAATCACTTGTAGTGAACCATGATATTCATTTTATGCCTACTGCATCTTTCTGTAATTCTGTTTTTCTATTTTCTCTCGAAATAATTTCAATTTGATAAAAAATATTCAAATATCTATCCTACATACAGGGTGTTTGATTTAATCTGTTTGTTTCAATATTTCGAAAACTATAAAAGATAAATGAAAAATTAAAAAAGCCTTTTCAATGACTTTGATATGGTTTTTAGCGATAAAACGATATTTTGAGAGAAGGAAGGAAATAAAATTTTTTTAAATAGAATTTTATACAAAAACAAGATCAATTGAAAAGATGAAGCTATTAATCTATGATATTAAGTCTATCTTTGATATTAGGACTGCAACGAATTTTCGAAATCATCTCAGAGCACATATTATTCAGAAATGTTCGGAATGGATTCCGATCGGAATTGTTCAATTATTCTCTAGATTTCTATTTTGTTTTCTAGAGAAAATGATCGGAATCCCTTTCGAATAATTCCATATATAATATGTACCCTGAGACGATTTCAGAAATTTGCTGCTAACGTAATATATCGAAGATAGATTTTCTAATATCATAGACTAATCTAATATCAATAGAATTGTCCTTTCAAGCTCTATCGATTAGTCTTTTTTTACAAGGGAATTCTATTAAAAAAATTTGACTCCTTTTTTCCCTTAAAATGCAGTTTTGTCACGCTGGAAATCATCCCAAAGTAATTCTATTAAAGGAGCTTTTTTAAATTTTTTGTCTATATTTAATAGTTTTCGAAATATCGATATACACAGATTGAATCGAACATCCTGTATGAGGAAAAAAATATTAGATAAGTAGTCTTTACCGAAATCATGTATAACTAAGCTTTGTGTGAGTGTGTGCATTTAAAATAAATCGTAATTTTAAATAATTGTAATTTACAATAATAATATAAGTGTGTATATAAATTTATATTTATTTATTTAT